ATAAAAATGGCTTATAACGTTTTTTAATCAGATAAATAACTAGCGGCAAAACTTCGTTTCAATAACCGGCCCTTTGAGTTTCGGTTTGTATTTTCTTTTTGTTTACAGCTTGGTAGAGAAGTTGAATTGGATGATGACTTACGACAACTCACATTTTATTCTGTACAAAGTGGAGACACTATTTACCTAAGATGGTGACGAGTCTCGAACTTTCTTTGTTAAACAATGCACAACCAGCGTTCCAAAGAAGGTCCTCGTTTCCCGCCATTCACAGCGGTGTTTGGTAGAGGTCTTATCAGTGCATGCGCACCCGCTTATAAATGGGGAAAAGTGGGATACGAAACTGTCGGCCGTCTGCTGTACAGTAAACAGCCGCATATAAGAATCTATGATTTTGGGTTTCAGGCTGATCAAGTTCTTATTCACTGGGTGCTTAGTGAGAAATCTTCCTGAAAAATAGATTATTAGAGGTGTAATTAATATACATACAATGTTTTATCTACTTACACAAAAAATAATTTTAAAATTTAATTAAAAATAAATACATACAGTAATTTCTAATATAAGTAAAGCATACTGTACTGTATTGGTTTCGTATTCTGGCATCCTCTTTTTTTTATATAAGAACATGTTTTGTTTATCAGGCTGCATTGGTTGTTATATATATGGTGCTTTATTGGTCAACTTTCAGCCTGATGTTCTTAATCCACTTCTTCTTATATGCAGGGTGTTTACTGTATAGGTCGCAAAACTAGCTTGTTGATGAATACTTTTATCGACATGCAGCAGTATTTACAGTTATTGTCGAAACAGCGATTTGTAGTTTAAATCGCAATTTAACACTGTAGGGTGATATTAGCCATTGTATATATTTTTAGGCCCAAAACAACAAACTGCCTTTTGTCTTTTAGCACTTTGGAGTGCAACATCTTAGTCTCCCCCGCAGCCGTTTTTTGGATGTCATGCAACGCCCCCCTCCCACCTTTTGGGGGAGCGTTGCGTGACATCCAAAAAAGGGCTGCGAGGGAGACTAGCAACATTTATGCTTAATTTGAAAGAATTAGCCCAACGTCAAAACGATGATCATCGCAACGCAGATTTTTGACCTTTTCGTAGGTTTGGTTCGGCTTTGAATTTAAAAGTGTTGCAGGGAATCAAAGTTGATGAAAGTTTGACACATTAATAAACACAGCTTAAAGATTACGGTCAGTGAGTTGGTTAAAGATTTCTATCCAGCCGTTCCTGAGATATATGAAAAAGAGTTAAAAGAATCCAGATTTTACACTTGGAACGGTGTTTAGAAAGAAAGTTAGTTTCCAAGATCGCAAGAAAGGAAATACACCAAAATTTCTTATCATGAAAATATGCTATTAAGCAGCATTATGATGATGCTTTGGAGCAATTTGAGGTATTTGGAATTTGCTTATTCGTTCATTTATAACGGCTATTGAAAATATATGGCTTAAAATATATTTGCGTTTTATTTGAATTCAAACGTACGTATTTTCACAGAGGTTGTTTGCCAAACACCGCACTTCAAGTTCCTGGTGTTGGATTTTTAACGTTAACTGATTTCAGTATTTTTTTTTTATCGTTGTCATGGTAATATCGATTTTACTTAAAATAATATTTTGACAAACTTCAATTCAAGGTCAGTTAACGGTGAAAATTTTATGGCGCTTCGGCGGATAAGAATAAAATCATTTTTAAGGCGATTGAAAAATATCGGTTTGTATCGATACACCTTAAGCTAGAAATGTCTCTGCCTGCAGTAAAGGGTACGTCTTTACCCCAGCCCAGTTATGCACGGGAGGCTCTCATTACTCATTTCACATGTTAATTCAAATCTCGCACTAATCTTGAGGTTATCTTAACCCAGCTCTGAACAACTCGGCCCAGGAGTGTAACTTTTACATGATACTACCTTTGTTTTTGCCTATTTAATTTTTCCTCGGTGAATCGGTTCAAATAACCGTGAAATCAATGTATTATTTGAAGATAGGTAGAGAAGCCACTATAATTAGTCGAGAGAATTACAAATATTTAATTAACTGATATTCACACAAATAAGGGAGAGTTGACAATTGTGCTTCTAGTCTTAAATGCAACGGTTCATTCTCATCGAACTTTAACTTCTATATCTTGTCACGGGACGTATCTCCCCGATTTATGAAAAATATTATAACTTGATGGAAGTTCTGTATATCTTTCCAATGATCTTTAAAATGAAACCGATGTTTGACTTGATTTAGCTAAATATGTCCTTTGCGGAATAAGTAAAATGTGACGCCAATAAATAATGTTTAAAATGTGAAAAGATAAAGCATGAAGCATGAAATCTGATTGATTTCTGACAATTGTATCTGATTGATTCGACATAAATACTGATATATATCGTTGTAGAAAGTTTTCTAGGTTCTGGAACATTTTGACTCTTTATTAATTAGTATCAGAGGAGATAAATAACATTTGCTAATGAACTTCTTATCTAAAAGATTAAAGATTAAAAGTGTGCCTTCTTGCACCATGCACGAAATCAGATCACGTGCATCACTTCTTAGTTGGTTATTGACCAAAGACAACCCCCATCTGTACCATCATGTATTTTCAGGTTTTTCTTTGTGCATTCTATGACTCTTTAGGAATGTTCTGACTAAGTTAAGAATTTCTTCTTTCGTGTGTTCAAGGAATGAGGTTTTTGAGCGGGACATCTTTTCTCCGAACTTGACGTCCCTTCGAAGGTGCTTATCCTTTAAGTGGACATTTCCACATTTTTAGTAACTGACTTAGCTAGTTAAGGTTTTGCGGCTCGATTTTGTTGGTAAAGTTTTTCCTCTATTTATCTTGTTCTCACATTTATTAATATGGGAGTTGTCCTTTGTTTGTCATTAACGAAGTTTGCACTTTTGGTTTTTTAGCTTCAAAGAACCAAGTAACTTAAAAGTAGTTGCGTAAAAGTGTGTTACTTCTACTGAACTTTGCTTAGTTAGTTTCCTTTACTGGTTATTCTCCTTCAGAACCAAAGAAAGGCTTTTAAAAGGAATTTTGCGTAACAAAGCTTAACAAGTTAATATATGCAGGGTGCAAAGAAAATCAGTTTTACAACTTGCCATCCGGGCAAGCTGAAGCTAGCATTTACTAGCCAAGACGTCATTTCAACTAGCCCCCAAAACTTTTTGTTCTTCTGTTATTCAAATTCCTCATAAAACATCACTTGCCCGTCGGGCAGGTTAAAAACAGAATTCACTAGCCCGACAGCAAAATCCACTAGCCCCGGGCTATCGGACAGTACTTTCTTTGCACGCTGATATAATAATAACAACATAAATATATTATCAACGTAAACATATGGTCAACGTTCAACAAACAAATAAATAGCGAGATGCGAAGGAGTAGATTTTAGAGAGAGAGAACGAAAGTAAAGTGCAGAGGACACAAGATTAGTTGAAGAAAGACGTTGTTGAGGAAGTTGTGAAGAACTGTGAAGTGAAAGAGTAAGTCTCCTTATAATAAAAAGTTTAATCTTAAGACGTGTTTGGTTGTGAGAGCCACTCTCGCTGTGGGGCGAGAGGAGACTTTTAGCGTCTCTCCCCAGTCTCGCTCTCTGTTTTTCAGCCTCGTTCCAGACTTTTTGTTTGACTGTTCGCGCGTACTTTAATACGCAAAAATACGGACTGTTTTACAGTCTAGTTGTAACGGATGGCAAGGACGGAAATGGATTCAAACTTGAAAAAAATTGGGCCAACTTTCTCGAAATTTAAGGCTATGCCTGCAAAAATCACCCAAAATATTGAGGTTATTGTTCTCTGATGAAATTAGTTTGATATCTTCTTCATACCTCTAGAGGAGGGTTATGTATATAATGATAATAATTAAAACTTATACAGCGCAACTTTCCATGGCACATGATCAAATGCGCTTTACAATAAGTTAAAAAGAAAGACTAAAAATGAGTGAAATTTACAAGGAGGTAGAAATGAAATAAAATGATAATAAATGATAAATAATAAAATAAACGAAGTAAATACTCTACTACGAATTAAAAGCTTGTTTACAAAGATATGCTTTCACATGGCATTTAAAATTTGACATAGAGTCAAGGCTGGATATTTCGCCAGGTAGATGTATGGGGTAGAGGCAGTAATTAATGACTTCAGCCCAGAATTGCCTTCAAACAGTGTTATCCTCGTGACATACTGAGCCCTTTTAAGCCCGATCAGAATAGCGCAGCCGCGAATCGGGCAACCTTTTGCGTGGTCTTCTGTGCGGAAGGTTCCGAGTTCGATACTCAGGTTTGACCTCATATCCTTATTTTGACTTTTTTCCTTTCCGTGCAGTAGCTCAAATACCCATAAAACGGATCCGATTGCTAGAGAGAGGGGGGTAAAATGAGCGTACCGTCGGCCTATGGCTTGTCAGTTTAAGTACTGTTACGAGTTACAGACGTAAAATAAGGACTTAAGGTCCTTTGCCGTTGTATTTTTATCTTTACTGCGCATGCGTACCACATGACAAAATCTGCCAATGTTTAATCCCTGGCCAAGAGGCCATTTCCAAGTTGCCTCAAGCCTCTGTTTCAAAGTGAAGCTAACTGCGAAGGCTTTGATATGAAAATGAATTTTTTGCTCTCATGCAAATAAAACTCATTTTCACAGCAAAGGTTTTTGCACTTAGCCTCGTTTTTAAAGTGAGAGTTTGTGGAACTAGGAAATGGCCTATTATGAGCATTGCCTTCTGCGCATGTCGCATGAACACAAATTGAAGGAACAACACTAGCATTACCTTAATTTATTTACGAACCCTCAGGATTATCTCAAGAAATTTACATCGTGTTTAGCTGCGCCATATGAGTCAGTACAGGAGAACTTTTCTTCGCACGTATAACCTATGTAACTGGCGTCACTGTTCACACGAGAACAAAAATTTGCCTATGGTTTCGCGGCGGTAGTACCCTGGGTGCCAGAGATTGCGCGGGTCCGGTTTCGGCCAAGTCTTTAGAGTTACCCGCTTCGCCGCTCGTCACTTCGGCCGAAGATCTGTCGGCCTGCGGCCAACACCGAAGCATCCAACCGTACGCGAGAATACCCAGGGTACGGCGGTAGAACCGAAGTTGCGAGAGTGGTGGGTGAAACTCAGTCGAAGAAGTGTGTAACGAAAAGGCCTGGGATGAGGACTGAAATGTTTTTAAGTCTCTCTGTGTGGGGTTCGTATTCGAAATTCCATCGCGAAAATTTGTTCTCATGCAGACAGTACCGAAAGCTAGACAGTTAAGGTAAAGAATAGGAGGTGATCAACAACTTGTTAAAGACGGTGCCTGTATAAGCTCATCTTGTTAGTTCTTGGTGGCTCAACACATTCATTATCCTCACACACCAGTCCGTTGCCTTCATCGCACCGGCAGTCGTCATTCGACTTACAAGCACTCTTCCACAGTCCGGTAGAGTAGCACTGTAAGAAAGGAAAAGCATAGCAAAGCATACAAGTAACAAATTGGAATTTAAGAGAAAGTTAATGAACCTAATCTCAACTTCGTCCTAGGGTCTTCTAAGCGTTCGCAATTGTGGGTGCTGAAAACCCGGGACACAGCTGACACAATAATAAAAAATTGCCGCCTCCTTCTCAAGCGCTTCGTGTTTCGCACAGTGGCAAGCGCAAGACGCGAGTGACGCGCGCGATTGACTGGTGATGAAGCGCAAGGGACGTCTGGGTACGAGGCAGCAAAAACTGCGTATTATGTGTTGGATTGTCTTAGATTGCATGAGCCAAACACAACAGCTATTGAGCTGCCGCCCATGGAATGGGCTGGCTGTTAAGCACCGAGATCCTTGCTGGGTTGGGTTTATGGGAGGGTGTACATGTAATGCTACATTTAAACTATGAATTTTAAGAAAATTTCAGTCAAACTATCAGTTAACAAAACATGTTAGATTAGTTTGTCAGCTGGGACCGGCGCGTTTTTATTTTTATATAAGGCTTGACGCCTACAAAGTTTCCGGGATTTTCGAGAAACAGACCCCTGGATAGGGAAAGGACAAAAACTTAATGCGAGACAGACACAGACGGCATTAGGTAGATTTGTCATTTTCGTCCAGATAGTTTTTGTGCATATGGAAAACGAAGATTTAAGAGTTTCTCACGGCTATATTGTTTATGTTGGGCATGGATTGAGGCTAATTCTTACCGGTTTATTCCTGATAGTAACGTCAATTTTGCTTGAATAGTTACATAGCTTTAGAAAATTGCAGATAACAGTTTCGTCTCCACATGACTGACAATCACTATCGTTTGAGCACTTTGTCTTACCTAAACTGCACTAAAAACGAACAGAAAGTCCACACTCTTAATTAGATGCCTTAAATAGTAGATAGCTAGGATGGATTACAGCTAAGGTTGATTTAGATTGTCCACAACCCTCTAATTTCTCGAACCTCTACCTGTAGTTGATCTGCACAGCTGCAGAAAAGGGCCCGCCGGGGATTTCCCTTTCGTAAACCGTCACTGCCATTGAGAGTGTTTCTATTAAAGGAAAAAAGGATCGCAACCCAGGGTCGTACTCGGACCCCAAAACCTCTCCCTTACGACTACACTACCACACCGACCGGCCAAAATTCCGAAAATACTAAGTACATAAACTCGCACACAATGTCATCCTTAAACGACACATCAATAACAGCTGACCCTAACCCTTCCCAGAACTCTTAACGAAAAAATTAACTTGGGCTTCAACGTCGTTCATCCCTAGAGCTATTCAAAATCGTGTTATGTGCCTTATTGTAACTTGATCCAGCTTATCCAGGGAATATAAAAGGGCCATTTATACGAGGAAAAATAAGACGTGTCTTACATAAGACACGAACTTTCCGTATAAACGGCACATTTCGTCTAAAATAAGACGCGACTTAGCAAAGACGCGTCTCATTTTAGAACAGCCCTTAACACCTGTTCTTAGATAAGACGAATCTTAGCTAAGACGAGAAAAACTTCGTATAAATGACCTTCGCGTCTTACATAAGACGCGAACGCATAGTACGCATGCGTTAATTTTTGGCGGGAAAGTTATCGCTTGCCCCCCGGGTGGATCGGCAGGCCACTGGCGGGGAAGAATTGTTTACTAATTACAACGCGTTTTCGTTTCCTTGTCTATTCCGCTTTATTTTTTCTTCGCTCAAATGCAATGAGCGCGCCGTTAAAGGTAAAAAGAAACACTTAGTCCATCGCGGAGAAGGCGATAACAGACCTCCTGGACAAATGCGTAACGTCTGCTGGTGTAAGTAGACCCTTTTAACTCCACCTTTTTTAAACTATCACAATTTATATTTACTAATCAAATTGCTATCTTCGTATTATAAACTTACACTTTAAAAATAAGTTTAAGTACACAGAAGACTTGCATAAGACATGCTCGTATAAATGGTCCAGTTCGCGTCTTATGTAAGACGCGTCTTATTTTTCCTCGTATAAATGGCCCTATTATATCACATTAATCTCGTTCCCAGGGTCCTCTCCTACTCGCTCAATCGACACGTGACCAGACCAGGCCAGGTGCTCTCTCTACGAGAGGACCCCTGGAAACGAGGTTAATATTACATTACCAATGGTGGTATCGACCCTTAAAAATGCCAACGACCGTTCACGAAAGGGACTAGGCACAGCCCTGCAGAAAGAAAGCAAACTGTTCGCGAGCACAATACAACAGTTTTCGCAGCAACACAATAACGAGATAACGTTTGTTTTCTCTACTACGCATAGGTAGACCAACTATAGCAAAATAAAATTGCATCTGCATAGTAAACAAGGTTAACTAGGCTTTGTACTCTTACACTACGTTTAACTGTATCTTGAAAGAAATCCCGCTCTCGATCCAAAAACCTTGCTTCTGTGATAACTACAAAAAGCGTCAATACGATAACGATTTTGGCCATCATGTTGAAATTTAACCTAAAAGGAAGAAAAGGAAACCAATCAGCAAAGTTGCTGAGTACTAGAGATAAGACATAGGAACTTGAACCGGCATACTTTCCAGTAAGATTCTTGCAAGGTTATATAGCAAAACAC